CAGCCTCAGACAAAATTGGAAGAAGCTAGATTAAACACTCCAAGCATGGAAAGACTCTATTTTGGAAAACAAAATCTAATATTCTACCCCACCCCTCTAACTTAAGTTTTCGAGTAAAACCAGAGACAAAGATAGATAGACCTCAACGATGTTTGATAGACAATCTATGGATAGCTTACAATAAAATACCACGAGACAACAGCTATTTCATTTCTGTACTAAATTCATTAAGCGTCCTTTCATACAATACAATATCAAGAAAGACACAGATAAAATAATATTTTGTGATCGTTGGTCTTCGATGACAGAAGGCTTTAGAAGACAAAATCAAATCATTGAGAGACTCGAAAAAGAAAAGGAAAAAATGACCCAACATATCCACTTCCTATAAGAAAGAATAAATATTTTACAGTTCGACATCAACCAAACTATACCATTACAAATAACAGACAATCCTAAGAGTTCTCCATCTCATTCTAAAATGGATAAGACGGGTGTACATTCCCCAAAGAATGTAGAAAGAACTACTGTATCAGCTAAAGGTACAACTAGTCCCGTTCAAACGATAACGGGTAAAGACTTATCAAATCTGTTGATGGCTGACACTTTGCCGAAAAGTGTGAGATTTTTACCCGCCAGTTTCAATACAACTAAATCTATAGAAAAAGGAAAGAAGACTAAGGGATTCCTGCTAAAGAGAAAAAAAGACAAAAAAATAGAACAAATGATACAAAGTTCTCTCCACAAGTTACTCAGTGAAAAGACTAAAGAAGTTATAAGAGAATACCCAAATCCAAAACCAGAGATTGCAGACACGGACACTGAAAACTCAGAAAGTAACGAATACAACCCGTCGTTAGAACAATTTGCTCAAGACCCAAACGAACACGACGACTCAGGAATGAGTTTTTACTCTATAACACTACACAACCTAGACACGTAAGAAATACATAAGCCATGACGATCATGAAGAAAAGACAAAAAAGGATAGGTAAGCAATGACGTAATAAGCCATTACTCTAAAGAAGACAATAAAGAGGACACCACTACTGAAAAGTAGACAATTATTTTGAAAGAAGTCTTTCAAGGCCATGTGACGATGGGGCCCAAAGAGCACCCGACAGGTAAAGAAAGATTATTCAATATTTGAAATCCGAAGTTTCAAATCCGTGGAAGACCTTCCTCACTTATAAACATGAGACCATTTGCAAGAAGAAGGGTAGAGCGAAGAGAAGAACAAGCACAACATAATAGAGAGAATAGTTTACAAGTTTTAAGCTTTACATATTTCCATTTCTTTAAATAAAAAAAAAGTGAGTATTTGTGTACAAAGAGTGTGAGTATTTACTTTCTCAAGTAGCTGCAAGGTCACTTGGGGACTCCCGAAAGGGAAACCTCTTTCCGACCGTTATCATGTAAGTAGTTATGAGTTTTCTAGATCTTAGTAGTTTCTCCCCATATCTTGTTATTATGTACTATGTATTGTTATTATGATGTATAATATGATGTTTATTACTATATGATGTTCATATACTGTTTAAATTACTCTTAGTAAATGGTTAGTTCCTTACGCTCTTAGTAACCCCGATGGATTAACCTGTAAATACCTAGGGAAGTTGGAAGTCCGCCATGGTCAGGGAACCGAAGGACTGTCTATCCCGGGGTTTGGTTAAAGAAAAAGGTGCTAAGAACATGGGCTAAGGAAAAGAGATGAACAGAGTCAAATAAAAGAGAGATGAACATCATTAAAAAAAAAGTAATTTTGGGAAAAATTACCTAGATTTAGTAACAAAAAACTACTGAACTAGATAAGGGAGCAGGAAGAGGGAGTACTGAATAGGATTTTACAACTTAAATTGCAAACGCATATTACCCCAATCTTTATTTTATCTAAATCACCTTTTCACCTTTTATTTAAACCATTTATTAGTAAAGTTATACGGGTTTGGTCCCATGTTTATTAATTCTTGAGGGTAAGCTACTTTGTATGCTTCCATACTCCTTTAATTGATTCGCCTAAAAAGGTCTCCATGTATGATAGGTAAGCAATAACGTAATAAGCCATTACTCTAAAGAAGACAATAAAGAGGACACCACTACTGAAAAACGGACAATTATTTTGAAAGAAGTCTTTCGAGGCCATGTGACGATGGGGCCCAAAGAGTGCGCGCGCGCGCGCACACACACACACACATATATATATATTATTGGTATCATTAAGATTTCTTGTTCAGACATTACTCATTAGTCAATGATACTGTAAGAGTATATATACTTGAAGCGACACTGTCCGTCGTTTTTTAGCAATTTTTGTAGTAATAGTGAGTTGGAGATGGTTTACACAAAAATAGTGTTGATACTAGTTTAGTGTAATCGTTGGAGATACCCTTAATCAAATGTAGTTTCATAAAATGAGAATGCATTAAAAAATGAACTCATTGACCATTACAAAAAATCATAATTAAATTAATATATATCACATAAAGATAAACTATTTTCAGTGCAAACAACTAATCATAATCTATTTTTAATTAGTATTTTTTTAATTAATAAGTTTCATTGTTTCTGAAAAAATCTACATATTAGTAATATATAACTACCTGTTGTTGGAGCAATGATTTTAAATTATTTTTATAAAAAAACAATAAAAATTCCTGAATTATTTTGTGATCACATGCAACACTATTTTGCAAAATATAGATTTGTAATATTACAAATTTATTCTTTTTAAAAAAATGATATTTCAAAAACTTTTGTGGAGATGACATTCTTTTTTTCTTGTAAATAAAGATTTATAATCTTTATTAATTTTTAACAAACTTAAAATTCGAGAATTATTTTTGTGATAACTTGTGGCATTATTTTGCAAACTATAAATATGTAATATTATAAATGTTTTCTGTTTAAAAAAATATACGATTAAGTTTTGAGATAATGGGAAATTTAGGTAAGTTGGTGAGAAATTTTAGAAATGATTTAGGTTAGTTTAATATTTTTTTCCATTTTATCTGTTCTTTTTAATTTTACCTACATATTTTTAACTATCCCTTTATTAATATTTTCTTCTTCTTCTTTTACTTCTTTCCGTTATTTTTTTTTTTAAAAAAAATTGTCATGGCATTTTTTTAATTTTATTGTCTGATACAAATAATTAATCTTAAATTTTACTATGTCTTTTTCTTGGTTTCGGTCTTCTTCTAAAAACGGTATAGTGACTTGATATTAGGCTGTTATTTAGGAGGAAACAATCATTTTTTCTCTAAATCCACTGCTTAACATATGCTGCTTAGCTGCCGTCTTTTTTGAATATTGCCACCAGTTATGGCCGGGCTGGCCACTGGTCAGCCACCTCCTGTGACTGATCAGAATAATTTTGCTGATTTTCCACCACTTATACGCCCATCTAAGCCTTCTTGCACTACTCCTGAGGTTGTAAAACCTAAGATGCCCAAAGCTCCTACTGATTTAATCAACGATGCGGCATCTTCTACAAATCGTTATGTCAATATTGTTAAAGGTAACAATATGGTAGTACCTACTACAACGACCATAGAGCCTATCCCCATTAAGGAGATCCATTATAATAATGGAATTCCCAGAGTTACTTGGACGGAAGATGAAGTTGATCGAATGAACACCATTGAGAATTTACAATATGCTGTAGTTGGTAAATTCTCATATGGATGGCCCGATTTGGAGGAACTTAGAACTCAAATACCAAAGCAATGCAATGTTAAGGGAGATTGTAAGATTGGGTTATTGAGAAATAGACATATATTAATGAGGTTTAATCAACAAGATGATTTTATTAATATTATGTCAAAATCAAGCTATTATATCCTTCCTAAGGATGGATATTCATATTTAATGAGGCCGTTGATTTATGATGCTAAGTTCAATGTAGATGAGGAGACTACGCAGGCAATGGCGTGGATCTCTTTTCCGGATTTAAAGCCAACATTTTTCGTTAAAGAATCCATCTTTTCATTAGCATATGCAATTGGAAAACCTCTACAATTAGATTCTGCTACTATCAACAAGACAAGACCTAGTTGTGCCAGGGTCAAAGTGCAAGTAGACTTGTTAGGTGATTTACCTAAATTTGTTGAGTTAGAAGTTGTCAATGAGGTTGCAGCAACATCTTGAATTGAGAGAGTAAAGGTACACTATGATATGTTACCTAAGTATTGTAAAGAGTGCAAGCTACAAGGACATGCGGAACAGAAGTGTCGGATTTTGCATCCAGAATTGCGGAGATATAAGGAGGACAATGAAAAAGGGAAGGAAATAGAAGAGGGTGATAACATGGAAAAGAATGAGCAACCTGTGTTTAGAGTTGGAAGGCAATTTAAAAGATGGCTTCCTACTGATAAAAGACTTCCTAGCAATAAGATTCATGCTGGAGGGGGTGAAAACACAGTTGCAGGAGGGCAAGAAGGTGTTAACATTGCAAATACTTTTGATGTATTAACAGATCACAAGACAGAAAAAGAAGTTCAGCAACAAAGCAATATAGGAAACACAAAGGACATAAATCAGACAAAACAGTTTAGTACACTAAATGCAGCAGTTGAGGAGATAAATATTAAGAAGATCCATGTAAATGAAATGGAAATCAAACAGAGGGCAATAGAGCAGCAAATGGTCACTCCGATGAGATATGTAATTCCTCTACAACACTGCCTACCAAGGATAAAGGAGCAGATGATAAGGAGCAACAAACTGAAAAAGAAATAGAGGAATCACCTGCAGATGGGCAAGTGAACATTGATGATGTGGATGGTCCTACAACGGAAAATACTGAGGGGATTAACAAGGAGAAGTAATTACAGATATGTACAATTCAGAATGAGCATACTGATCTTATTTACATGAATGATATGACAAATATTAGTGATCAGAGACCACTGCAAATGGTTACAGCACATGAAGGTAGATTCCCACCTGACTTTATACAAGAGCAAGTATGGCAAATAGAGAGGGATATCGGGTAGAAAGATATGGCGGTGGGGGTGGATAGTACAGATCAGAAATCACATCCAATGAACAGGTTGCATGCACTAGTGTCACACCAAGGCCAGTATAAGGTCCCTGCAGATTCCAAACAAATCTTAGCTCTAGAAAATAATGGAAAAGGAGATGAATGCACAGGAGAAGAAGATAAAGAAGAGGAAAACAACAACAACATCATACATAAAGTAAGCAAGGAGGCAGGGCTACCTCCTAGAATTTTGCCTAAATCCAAAAAAGGTAAAAGTAAGGGAGAAAGCACAAGCAGCAGCATTCCAACAAGGATACAGGCCAAAAGAGGGGTAAAAACAGTAACTCAATGACTGTAAAAGCTCTTTTTTGAAATATTAGATCGGTGAATACACAAAATGCTTTTCATAGAGTGCAAATGTTAAACATACATCATAAGTTTGAAGTGATTGCTCTAATGGAACCATTTCAGGACTCTAGACATATTCAAAAATACAAAAGGAGGTTGGGGATGAGCTATGTGAATTATAATAGTAATGACCAGATTTGGAGTTTTATCAAAGAACATATTCAGGTGGGAATTATTTCAGACACTGAGCAACAACTCCCCCTACAGCTTACTTTAGAGGATGGTAATCAAGTGATTACAACAGTAGTCTATGCTAAATGTAATCCTAATGAAAGGTTAAGACTTTGGGATGAGCTTTATTCCATTAGTTATAATTTTTCATTACCTTGGATTGTGGGTGGAGACTTCAATGTAATAATGGGCGTAGAGGAGAAGATTGGAGGCTTACCTGTGTATCCTCAGGAATATGAGGACTTTGCCATCTGTATTAACTCTTGTGATCTTTCTGATGTCAAATTTTCTGAGTCCTTTTACATGGTGGAACGGCAGAATAAATGATGAATGTATTTTCAAAAGTCTGGATAGAGTGGTGGTGAACCAAAAATTTTCTAATTTATATGGAGACACCAATTTACAACATCTAGCCAGAACAGGGTCTGACCATGCTCCATTGTTATTAACTTGTGGGAACAGCAATCAGAAAATTGTTAAACCCTTCAAGTTCCTGAAGTTCTGGACAGAAAGTGATGACTTTAGAGATGTGGTGCTACAAAATTGGGTTTCGGATGATGTGGAAGATATATTTATACAACTCAAGTTGAAGCAAAAAAGAACTAAGCAAGCACTGTCAAAGTGGAGCAAGGAAAAATTTGGAGACATTTTCAATCAATTGGCTATTAGGGAGGAAATTGTGAGGATTAAAGAAGAGTTTTTTGAAGAATGTCCATCTCCAGAAAATAGAGCAGTATTATAACAGGCTCAAGTTGAATTAAAGCTCTATATTCATTATGAAGAAGAGTATTGGAGGCAGAAAGGTAGGATGCAATGGTTTGAGGAGGGAGATAGAAATACCAGATTTTTTTCATGGTCTGGTAAAGGGAAGAAGAAAGAGGCTGAAAATTAACAAAATGATGAAAACAGATGGTTCCTGGGCTGAGGATGATAAATAGATTGCAGAAGAGGCTGTGTGTTTTTTTAAAGATCAGTTCACAGGGGGAGCTACTTATTCTGAGTTATCCTTATTACAATATATACATTCTCAAGCAGAACAAGATGAAAATGACAGCTTGATTGCAATACCACCGGAAGAGGAGATCAAGAAAGTTGTATTTGAGCTTAATGCTGAGAGGGCTTGTGGACCAGATGGGTTTACAGGTCACTTTTATCAAACTTGTTAGGATATTGTTGGTACAGATATTGTGAAAATGGTTCATGCTTTCTTTCTGGGTTATTCACTGCCTAAGTCTATTACTCATACAAATTTGGTCCTATTACCCAAAAAAGATATTATTCAATCTTTTTCTGATTTTAGGCCAATTAGTTTGAGCAATTTTCTTAACAAAATCATTTCCAGACTTATACATGATAGGTTGGAAGGGATACTGCCAAAACTGATATCTCCTAACCAATCAGGATTTGTTAAAGGGAGAAATATCACTGAAAATGTATTGTTGGCACAAGAAATAATCTCAGAGATCAGAAAAAGAGGGAAGCCTGCTAATGTGGTCATCAAGTTAGACATGGCTAAAGCTTATGACAGGGTGGATTGGAAGTTTCTGATTAGTGTATTGGAGAAAATGGGCTTTGATAACAGGATGTTGGATATGATTTGGAGGTTGGTAGCCAATAATTGGTACTCTGTACTAGTTAATGGGCAGGCTCATGGCTTCTTTCACTCCACTAGAGGGGTAAAACAAGGAGATCCTTTTCACCTGCACTTTTTATATTATCAGCTGAAGTATTATCTAGGACTCTAAATCATCTGTTTTACAACAATGAGTTTAAGAGCTTCGGTTTACCCAAATAGAGTGATCAACTAAATCATCTTGCTTATGCAGATGATACCATCATATTCACATCTGCTGACAAAAAATCTATGCAATTAATCATGGAAACTCTTCAGTTGTATGAAGCTCAATCAGGCCAACTTATTAATAAAGGAAAGAGTTTATTTTACATGTTCAACAAGACTGCACAGGTCATAGTTCAGGAAGTGGAGGATACTACTGGATTTGTGAGAGGAAGCTTTCCATTGACTTATCTTGGATGTCCCATTGGGCATGCTAAGAAGAAGAAGGTTCATTACTCAGAACTTATCAAGAAGATCCAAAGCAAATTGCAGGTATGGAAGGGGAGGTTGTTATCTTTTGGAGGAAAAGCAGTGTTGATAAATCATGTACTGCAGAGCATTCCTATATACTTGCTATCTGCTATTTGTCCACCAAAATGTGTTATACATGATATACATAGGATTTTTGCAAAATTCCTATGGAATTCCAATAAGGAAGGGAGGGCTAAACACTAGATTGCTTGGGATGATATATGTTTACCAAAGGATGAAGGGGGGCTTGGTTTTAGATCTTTATTTGATGTTTCAAAGGCGCTCTTTGCTAAATTATGGTGGAATTTCAGAACAACCAACACATTATGGTCAAACTTCATGTGGAACAAGTACTGCAAAAGACATAGACCTCAAGTTGTAGAATGGAAGGGGGGCTCTCAGGTATGGAAACTTATGCTACAGGCTAGAGATTTCATTGACCAGGAAATTTGGTGGGAACCCAGAAATGGTCAGTGTAGTGTTTGGTTTGATAATTGGACACAGTTGGGGGCATTACACTACTACTTGCCTATTAACCATGATCATGGTCAATTAGAAGAGGTGCAACAGTTAATGCTTGTGGAGGGATGGAATAACACCTTGCTACATGAGAATTTGTCAGAAGAAGTTAGTAATCACATCACTTCAAATTTGGGCAGAATACAAAGATCTGATGAAAGAGACAAGCCATGGTGGATGCCTACTAGTACAGGTAAATTCTTTGTTGGTAGTGCTTGGGAGTTAATGAGAAGGAAAAATGATGAAGTTGATAAAATCATGTATATATGGGAGAAAGGGTTGCCTTTTAAAATCTCATTTTTGATATGGAGACTATGGCATATGAGAATTCCAATAGGAGAGGTGCTGGTGAGAATGAGATTGTCAACTCTGTCAAGTGTTGTATCTGTAACACCAATGCAGAGGAGACATGTGATCATCTCTTTATTCATTGCCCCACAACATACTGTTTATGGAGACAATTTGCAGAGGCTACAGGTATTCAAGGCCCAATGGTTCAACTAAGACAGGTGATACAATTATGGTGGGAAGCTGATTGTGGAAGCAAGTTGAAACCAATGTTACATGTTGTTCCCATTTTCATTATTTGGCAGTTATGGAAGAGAAGGAATATCGTTAAGCATGGAGGATGTATGTCGACTCATAACATGGTTAGAGAGATTAACAAGCATCTGTATCTTTTTGCCAAAAATAGATATCCATGGTTGAAAAATCTCCCTAATACATGGCCTATGATAGTCAAATTATTGGAAGGATACTCACCACTAGTATGTTGTAGAGTGGTGTATTGGATGCATCCTCCCATAGGAAGATATAAATGCAATACTGATGGCACTAGTAAAGGGAATCCTAGGCCTAGTTCTACAGCTTTTTGTATTCGAAATGAAGAAGGCAACTTAATATTTGCAGAAGCTAGTGTTATTGAAGCATGTTATGCTATAGTTGTAGAAGTGAAGGCATTCAAGGCAGGATTGAAGTACTGTATAGAGAATGACTTGCTACCTATAATCATGGAAACTGATTCATTCATTATTAAAAAAGTATTGGATGGAGTATGGGAAGTTCCATGGTCAATCTCAGTCGACATACAATGCATCAAATTATGGATGGAGAATGGAGAGGTGGAGGTGGTTCACACATACAGGGAAGGAAACAGACTGGCAGATTATTTAGCTAACCACATTGTTCATTTTGCAGGTACTAACGTCATTCAATTTAATAGCACACATGAACTACCACAACTAGCAAGGAAAATCTTACTGACGGAACAAAGAAAAATCCCACATATACGGATTAAGAAGATGCAAAACAAGAGTTTCAGCACATAACCAAGGAATTAAGGATTAAAAAGACAAGTCAACGGGAAATGAACATCAGATGCAAATAAAAGAGATACGGTAACACCGAAGCCGATTTCACATATCGATTGCTAGTAACAAATTGGGGTCAGTTGAGTCGAAAATACCTCTTGGAGATGGATCTCTTCACAGTGGTATCAGTTCTTCGGAGCTCATTCTGCGTAGAAGGAAAGATTCAAGAGGATTTATCATCAAGGCTGATTCTTGACGAAGATTGCGGGTCGAGGCTACAAGCTCCTAGATCTGTTGTTGGAACCCATTTTGAGCTGAAGAAGTCTTCAAGGAGATCGATTCCATGGCACTTGTGAGATGTTAAGTGTATATGTGGAATTCACTCAAGCTCAACAATACTGGTTCAACAACAATTTAAAGAATTTGGAGCCATTTCGGAGGAACATAGATAAGCATTCTGGATGGAGAAGTGTTCTTGGACAGCAGCGTTTGATTTCTTTCCTTTTTTTAGCTTTTATTTTTTGTTGTTAGGAGATAGTCCCAGGTCACTTTTGGGCCTGGGTTATTCATGTTTTATTTCTTTTTAAGGAATAAATAGGCTATGCCCAATGTTGAATTAAAAAAAAAAAATCATTATACTAAATATAATAATATTATTACTTAATGTGAAGTGAATATATATATATATATACTAGTAAAGGCAGCTCGGGAGTTGCCCGGGCCTAATATGAGCGTCAGTGGTGCAAATATGTACAACCATCAGAATGTTTCTCTGGAACTAAGAGAGAAAAGCAGCTTAAAGAGTGATAAAGGTCTCCTTTTTTTTACCATATTTGCATCTGATACGCTAAAAAATAAAAGAATATTACAATGTTGTTCGGTGCAAAGTAGTGGTGTAAGATGCGGACTCATGAAGAGCTCATGGATTGTCGGAGGATAGCTTCAGAATATAGAGAAATACTCGTCTTATAAGGGACATAATTGTTAAGCCAAGCGACCACATTAAAAGGAGAGAAGTCCTACTTCGCAATAAAGAGTTCAGCACCATAGTTCTGTACAGTAGTGTAACCAACAAGAAATTCCCTCGGAGCAGCTAGACCGTTTACGCCTAAATACACCAAATATCATCAACTATTTCAATAGCAAGTAGTATTGCACTTAAATTTTCTCATAAATATTCCTCTTCCCTAGAGATTTTGACAATCATTTTTTAATTTAGGAAATACTTTATTTTTCTTATTAATGAATTTACCCAACCAAATTTAAATAAGTCAAGCTAAAGCCTTGACATACATGTTAAAATACAAGGAAATTTTTTTTTACTTCTGCAAAATACCTTGTTCAACATAGAGAATTTTTTAATAAATATTACTAAATGATAATTCTGATTATGCATTTTTCATTAAGATTTTCTCTTCAAAAATACTTACTTCATGATTTATGCAATATATTTTTTTTAATTGTGTATGAACAACATTAGTTAGTCAATTGTAAACTAAAAAAATAAATATGTAATTAATGAGAAATGGGTGAAAGTCTAACAAGTAAATTTTTTTAAAAAAAAATGAAAACTAATTTGTTTTTTCCAACCCAAAACAAAAAAAGGGGAAAAAGTTAATACTAATATTAATTCTTCATAGTCCACCTACCAAGGGACTTTGAATTAAGGGTGACAAAAAGGTGTCAAAATAAAATGGCGATGACATAAGTCTTAATTATTGAGTGTAGGTGACAATTATGTAATTAAGAATTAAGGATTGTGGAGTTGCCCTCAAGTTTATAAGTTGGAAGTTTGGTCCATTGTATTAAATGATGGGTAAAAAGGTAAATGACAAAAACCTAATTTAACCAATTTTGGTGGGAACCAAAACTGGAGGGAAGCCAGCGAGCGGAACCAGAAGGGGAAATCAAAGTTTTTCCCCCCGCCTCTCACCGTCTTCTTCTTCTTCTTCTTCTTCTTCTTCTGTGGAGTTGCCCTCAAGTTTATAAGTTGGCAGTTTGGTCCATTGTATTAAATGATGGGTAAAAAGGTAAATGACAAAAACCTAATTTAACCAATTTTGGTGGGAACCAAAACTGGAGGGAAGCCAGCGAGCGGAACCAGAAGGGGAAATCAAAGTTTTTCCCCCCCGCCTCTCTTCTTCTTCTTCTTCTTCTTCTTCTTCTTCTTCTTCTTCTTCTTCTTCTTCTTCAGATAATCTAATCAGTGGACCAGATTTCGTTCTGTATCAATTGGAATTACTTCATAAGTGATTCTGTTCACAAACCATTGTTTGGTAAGTAAGATTAATAGTTCTTTGAATCATTCATCATCTTTTAGGTATAACCAACAAAGTTTTTAATAATTTGCAACAGTTGACTATTGAAACAAATTATAGTCTTATGTTGCAACAGAAAGGTTATTTCAATCGCAACAGAACAGACATGTGTTCTAACATACAACTTACACATGTTCCAACATTTGATTTATGTGCTGCAACATAATAGTTATATGTAGCAACATATGACTTGCATAACTTAACAGAATAGCCATATGATGCACCATGTGATTTATTTGTCACAACAAAATAGTTATATGGAGCAACATATGACTTACATGTCGCAACATAATAGTCATATGTTGCAACATATAACTTACACATTTTGTTATAACATGTGATTTATGTGTCGCAACAGAATAGTTATATGTAGCAACATATGAGTTACATGTCGCAACAGAATAGTCATATGTCATAACATATAACTTACACATGTTGCAACAT